CTTCTTCTTCTTCTTCTTCTTCTTTCTTCCGTCTGGCAAGATTCCTCCCAGCTCTGCCACTATAGAGAAGATAAATCCCAGTTTCTTCTTATTCTTGTGGGGTACATCTCAAATCAGTGTTGTGACATTCGCACCGGTGCATTTCTCTCGCATTCTCGCCCCCTCTCTCTCCCTCTCGTGCACTCTTGCTCTCTCAACCGCACAATGGGACATGAGACGTAGTTTTCTTTTATCATCTTTTTCTTTTCTTACAGAAACGATTTGAACGCTGTGTGTTTGTCGTATGCGCGGGCAGAAAGAGAGAGAGGGAGAGAGAGAGGGGGGGGGGACGTGCGCGTGCGTTTTCTAGGCCGCCGCTGTACTGCTGCAGCCTAGAGACTTGGCTCACCCTGCAGCGCTGCACGCTGCTGTCGCTGCAAAATGTCACAAGTCACAACCATTTTACATCCTACGGAGCGCCAACGGAGCGCGCGCTCTCTCTGTCTCTCTCCCTCTCCCCCTCTTCCCCCCCCTCTCTCTCTCTCTCTCTCTCTCTCTCTTTTCCACTTTTTCTTATACCTCTATTCCTATAAATCATGTACCACTATTAGGAAAACCCAAGTGTGTAAATATCCTATAACAGTCTCCGTTGTCCAAAGTATTACAACTCCACCATCTACCATTCTATTCCTGTGCTAAAACACTGACTCGACTCCCTCAAAAGTGTTCGGCACACGATTGATGTGCTGCTTTGTCAGGGCTACACCCCTGCCCACCCGTGTGCCTGCCTACCCCTACGATTACGGGCGCAGAGTCAAACTCATTTCCCTCCCCACTCCTACCACTTACATCCCCCGCTTTGCAATGTTCATCTCGTTAGAACCCCACCCCCTTCTCCCCCTCCGGTCACCTCTCTCCTCTCCCCCGCACTATCTGCAGCAGAGTCGCTATGTGGCTTAGAAAATGCCGTACGCCGTGGGTCCTAAAAGTGGTCCAAGGACATAAAGGGTCGGGGCGCGACGGGG